TAATGGATATTAAAAATTTAATACCGAAAAATAATGGTATTAACAAATAAAATTTTATTAAAGAGGGCGGGATATCTTTAAATTGAAAGAAATATTTAAATTTAAAGGATTTTATTTTTTGTTGCATTATTTATGATTGCTACTGTATACACTATTATTTCTACTGTTTATTCCTTCATTCCTCATTGGAAGAAATCAATTATGAACTTATCTTAATTAAATCTAGTCTTCTCACTCCTTCTGAATTTGTCTCTTTAAAAGAATAGATGATCACATTCCTTTTCAATACAAAACATTTATTTAGTGAACCATGGATGGCATCAAGTCCTCGTTGGTAATTAATTATTCATAAAATCTTCAAAGAATTAGGTTTTTTACCTGTTAAGAACTTTTTCACTCCATTCATCCCTAAAAGAATCGCAAATATGATGGGCATGTTAGGTACATTCAGTATTAGCGCTTTATTACATAATTGCCTTATCATTAGACTATTCAAACTTTGGACAGGTGAACACCTCTTTTTTTTATGATCCATGGGGTAATATTTATATTGTGGAAAGCTATTTTTGGTCGTGAAAATATAAATGAGAATTCAAAAATTAAAGATTCTTAAAATGGTTCTTGTTGTTGATTATTAATTTGTCTGTTATGCCAGCATACATTGAACCTTTAAGAAGATGACCTGAGATATTTGAAATTCCTTCATTTTTTGCCAAGTATTATTAACTAAATTAATAATGATTTGAGGGTATTTAAAAATTTAAAAATATGTTGTTACATTATCATTTCACAAAGCTATTTAAATAAAATTTTGCATTTATCATTTATTAAATATAATAAACAAATACTCCGGTTTAAATTTGCCAATTTTTTTTTTATTGGAAAGTTTCAACGGTCTAAACCCACCGATATAAAATACAATATAAATAAATTCAAAATATATACAAAATAAGCATTCCATCTTGCACAAAATTCATAATAAAATTAAAAAAATGTATCATGTAATCTAAATCCTTTATTCTTATTACAGTTTCTGAATTAAAATACAATATATTATTAAAAATTCAAAGACAAAATGTTAATTTTTTTTTGCTATTATAATTAAGAGTCCCAAAGAATCTCATAATAGATTACTTTAAAAAAATCCTTAAAAAAATAAGGACATATATAAGTGATCGAATTTTGTGTAAACGTAATTAGTTGCTTCGTAACTACAGGCATCTAAAACTTTGGACCCCAGCCTCTCATCACGGCGTTGTATATTAAATAATTCTATATACTTTTTCTGGTACCTCGCCAACAAAAAACTAATAAATCGGAAAATAAACTAATAAACGAAAAATTAAAATATCGAAATTAACGAAGTTACAACGTTACTACATGAAAAGATTATAAGTTAAAATGACGAAAGCGATAATATCGAAAGGAAGAAAGGAAGAGTTTAAGGTGTAGGTATGCAATGTAAGGAGCGGACCGTTGTATGTTGAGTTGTAAGGATTTTCAACTCATATTTATATACAATAAAAAAATTAATTAGAACTACCTGGCGTCCTACCATCCTGTCATTGGCTTCATACCCGTCCTGGTCAAAAATGATCTACAACGGACTAACAATCTACAAGCGAAATTTATGATCTTTCGGGCGGAATTATATTGGATGTAACAATAGCTTATAACTTATGCTAAGGTGAAACTTGCATATTAAAATAAAAGGAAATATTAATAATGACATGTTGGAATAATTATTAAAAAATTAAATTTATCATATTTGGCTCAATAAAACCTTTTAACAAGCCAAACTTTAATCCTGCAATAATTAAATTAAATTAATTACTGTTAAACTTCAGACATCAGTCGTTTAAATTTAGTGCTAAGGATGTTATGAATAAAAATTTTCTATAAACAAAGAAATAATTTTTTATTAGAAAAGATTAGGAAGAATAATAAAATCATATAATTTATTGAAGAAACGATGACCGAAAAGAAATTTATTTCAAAACTTCGTCGTGAGCAGAAACTAGAAGAGAGTCTATAAGCATTTTAAATGAGATAAAATTTGTTATGTTAGAAAGGTTAGATTTTTTTAAAAAAAAAATTCAATAAAAAGTATTATAAATCAAAAGAATATTCTTATTACCTACCTGAACAAAACCTAAAAAATGAAAGGTATAATAAAAAGATTATAAACAAAAGAATACGTTCATGCTAAAAAATGAACTCTTACCTGCATCAACGAAAAATTTTTTACTATTCTATAATATCATAGTCACATGACAGCGTAATTTCAAAATGGTAATTCATTTCATATTCCAATCCGACCATTTTGGGTATTACACAAAGGGTAGATAGAAAACCGGTACGGTACGATTCGCCAGACCAGTACGGTACGATTTTGCAGATCAGTAATTTTTGTGAAATTTTGCATCGTACCGTACCGGTTTCTATCTATGTGCCTTAAAAACTATACATGTATGGTTTTTTTTCATAACAAATAGTCCATACTTGTATGGTTTCTAATTAAAAAAAAAACCATACTATACATATATTAACCGTACTGTTCAGGTTTGCTATATTCCCAATTTTACTTATTATATAAAATTTAATTTATTAAAATCAAATCACACTAATCTGCTGCGCCATGACAACGTAAATATTTAGGATTTCTTCATTTGTGACTTTACAAATTAGCAGCTAATAGTAAAAAATGAATATCTTACCGTACCGTTGGACCGATAACATTGAGCAAATAAAAGCCGAATTCTTTAGTTTGGCGCAGTATTAAAATAAAACTTACCAATGTTGCTAAAATAAATAGCTGAATATGAGTTGGACAAATACAAAGGTGTGAGAGAGTGAAATTCTGGCCATGAGTTTAACGAATTTATTAAAATTGATATATTTTAAATTCGATGATCATGATGTAACAATTTCATCCAACAACGCCATGACAACATTGTTTCATCAGGACAATAAAGTAACTATTATAGCTTTGCTGGAATAAACACTTTTGCTAGAATATATGAATGATTACCGCTAAGGTTAAAATTTTGCAAAAAAAAAAAAAAAATTTTTTAACAATGAAATTAATTAAATTAATAGAAATCATGACGTGTAAAAAATATAAATTAATTTACATGTTCACCTTCATGTTAAGCTACTTATTCTTTAGAGCTGAGTCATTTTCTCCTGAAGGACGTCTAGCGCATCATACAGTCCTAGTTGGAAATAAGCTGTATTTTTTTGGCGGATATGTTGACAATGCTAAGTCTTGCACAAATCAAGTGTTTTACCTCGATTTATCTCAGTCATTTAATTTAGCTGCTCCACCATGGGTTTCTCTTACGCAAAATGCCGGAATTCCATTCAAAAGTTGCTGGGGAACTGCTTTATTGAATGATAAGGAACAAAGTATTTATTTATTTGGTGGAATAATGCACAATGATCTGAATCAAAATGCTTTTGTATCAAATGTTCATTCATTCAATTTAAATTCCTTATCGTGGAATGTACCTAATATCGAAGGGACTCCACCTGAAAGACGAAGAAATACAAAGGGTGTTATTGATGATACCGGAAAAATATATATTTTTGGTGGATATGCTGATAGATTTTTAGGTTCAACAACAATAATACATTTCAATGATATGGTCATTCTCAATACTGCTAAATTATCATGGGTAATCAATCCAGCTAGTAAACCTTATGCGCAAAATTCTTATACTGCAACACTATTATCTAATGGAATGATTGTATATATTGGTGGTTATGAAATGATTGAGGACACTCCACGAATAGTTGACATTAAACAAATTAATCTTTTTGATACAAAGACCTCAATTTGGTCAATGAAAGTATGTATAAAATTATCATATTTAAAATAATTAAGATTAAAATTAAAATAATGACGTTAATATATTTATTATAGATAGCAACAGCTTCAAATATAATTCAAAGTCGTTTTGATCATACGGCGGTCTTAGGTAAATAATTATGATTTGAAGTTTATATATATCATCTTTATCTATTTATTTATTTGCTCATTTAAAATAGCTCCAGATGATAAAATCATTATTTATGGGGGTTCTAAAGGTATTAATAATGCTCAAGTTGCTCCAGATTTGTTTGTTGTAAACTTGGAAACAGAACAATTTGAGTTTATTGTGCCGCAAGTTAATTCAAATATTGTTCAGGTTCCATCACTTACAGCTCATACAGCTGATCTGGTTGGAAATTATATGATTGTAGCTTTTGGTAAGTAAAACTCTTACATTGTTTTAATGAAATAATTCAAAATTTTTAAATTTATTTTTATGAATTTCGATAGGAAATATTACACAACCCAATGATGCTCCATTACCATTAAGGAGTTCTAACATTTATATAATGGATATAAGAAATTATATGTGGGTTAATTCATTTGAAATAACAAGTGCAAATTTGACGATAAATTCTGACCCATCAACAACACAATCATCGCTAACTACTTCCATAATTGTTGTTTCAAATAATTCTAATAGTGAATTGATTACGATGAAAATTATAATCGCATCAATTGGAGGAACTGTGGGCGCCGTTATATTGCATGTGGATTTTTATTTTATAAATGGAATAAAAATAGGAATGGACAATCTTCTAAATACATTAATGAGCAACATAATTTACCTGGAAGTATTGTTGAAAATAAGCGTAGTAGTAATAATATCGCATAATTCATTATCAAATTTTAATATTAAAATTTGCAATGAATAAATGAATAATAATTTTAATTTAATAATTTTTTCTCACAATTATTGATCATGTTGTATTCAGTTCTTCGTTTATGTATTTATAAACAATTTTTATTGTAAGCAGAAGGAATTTAATAAAAATAAACGAAGTAATTGTAACGATAAATTTAATTAATAATATCAATTAATCAGTGTTGCTTCAACGTTTGCGTCTATAATGTCGCAATGTCAATATATTAAACTAAATAAATGCTAAATCACTAATAATATTAATTAATTAAAACTTTGCAAAATACATAAAAATAAAAAATAAACGAAGTTATAATATTAAAATTTATTAGGTTCAAATGGAGAAAGCGAAAATATTGCAAAGGAAGAAAGGTGTAAGGTGTATTTATGCAATACTGTATAAGAAGAGCGAGCCGTGTATGTTGAGTTGTTTAAGGATTTCCAACTCATATATATAATAAAAAAAAATTAATTAAAAAGGTCTGGTGTTGTCATTGGCTTCGTACTGTTGTTGTCAGTTCTTTCGTATATGTATTTATAAACAATTTTTATTGTAAGCAGAAAGTATTAATTGAATAAAAATAAAGTAATGTTGACGCTAAATTTATTTAATATTATCAATTCGATCAAACGTCTAAGCTCTACATTTTCGCTATGTCAAAATATTAAATGCTAATCAATTAATTAGAACTACGCCATACAAATAATTACATAAAATTAAATAATAAAATTGGAATTAAAAATAACGAAGTTACAAGTGCGGAATCTAAAAAGTTAAAATGGCGAAATTGAAAATATCGCGAAGGTGTTAAAGGAATGATTTCGAGGCGAATGTATGTAAAAAAAATATAACAAGAACGAACGTGGATATTGAGCCATTTAAGGATTCCAGCTTATAGAGACTGGACTCGTATTCGTGCAACTCGAGTCAACTCGAGTTAAATTTTGATTCGAGTCAAAATTTTATAGACTCGAATCTTGATTCGAGTAAGAATTCGAGTAGACTCGAATTATATATACTACTCGAATTCATACTCGAGCTAACTTCTTGAATTACTCGAGTGCATTCTACACTTAAGATATTAACATTTCATAAAAAATTGGTTGCACAGTAATTCCTAATAATTAATTGAACAGGCGCAGTAATTCAAATCTTTAGAGTTTAGAAAATAACTTTATAATTAAATTAAATGTATGTGTTTATAAAATAATTATTTTTTACATTAAAAATAAATACTAGGTATTTTTTTTTATTTTTTTTATTTATGCAGTATCCGATAATCCAGTTGACCTTAATGGCGAAGGAACACCACGCACAAGTCATGGAAACCTTACTATTTGCCAACCTATAACTGGGAAAATCTTGGCTAACTCAATGATCTAACCATAATCCCATCGAAATACTGGTCTAAGGATTGCCACCCAGAGCGACCCCCCAGAGGGTCACTGGACCTTAGAACCACTGTCAAATTTGGATAGAGGGATCACTTTCAGCCAAGGTACTTTTGGTCGATTATTTTCCCTGTCTTTACCAACACCAATTAGAATCACTATTACCTCTGCCTGGTATCAAGATATATTACACATGATATGAAAGGCTTAGGATGTAACCATCCATTATAGAACTCAGAAAGGTAGGTGGCTGTCGTACCCATATCATCAAACTCACCCAGGAATTGAACCCAGCCTCTACCCCAATTGACAGCTTAATTGGATGGTTGCTGTGGCAGTGCAATGCAATTATTATCAATTATAATTACTGAGGGTATCCCAAAGTATCACCCAATCTATTAATTACTGGTTAATCACTTTCTTACTTGTGTAATGATCCCTGAATTTGAAAATGTGAGACAGTATCCATTACAGACCTATCAGTGAAGGCCAAGTTTCTGTTAATCCCTAGCTTCATTTGCATCTACTTGTTCTGTAAGATTCAATATTTAGGCATTATCAACAATTGATCAATAGATCGATTGATAATTATTAATGCATATTAGTATATATGCATACATATTCAGTTATATATGAAATTCTTATGAAAATCATCTGGTTTTATATCTCAGCTAAGACTTTAACCAGTGACTATTGCAGTATAACCTACAATAGAAGCTCAGATATTACTAACTTAACTAGCGTTGCCAAGTAATACTAGATATTTTTGTTTAAATTTTATAATTGCAATTAAAAAATAAAGGTAGATCACAGGTAGTTTAAATTTTAATGCTATTATATTGAAAAATTGATCTAATATTTGTAGTTTTAATTAAAAAATGAATTTATAATTATTTATATATTTTAAGAAATTCTAAAGTAATTAACTAATTTAAACATAAACGATTTATCATGTTAGCTTTAATTTGTTTATTTAAAAAAATAATATTACATTGAAATTTTTTATATTAGCAATTTAGCTTTATATAATTTCAATTGAAAATGTTTCACAAAATTGGAAAAGCCTTAAAAAATTAGTAAAAATAATATCAATAATAATAAAAAATCTTTGGTCTTTCTAACTTCTTTAAGAATAATGAATAATCATGCAGGACCTTCAAACTTAAAAAAAAACATTTCTTTAGAAATTTTGATAATAACGAATATATTTATATTTCAAGTAAAAATGAAAGAACTAAAGAGATATATAAAAAACAAAAGGGATTAAAGCGTTCTGATACTGAATTACTTCAATTTTCTTTTAAATTACAATATTTTAATAAAAAAAATTAACTAAAAAAGTAAAAAGATGAACAAAAGTAATAGTTAATATAAAGAAAAAGTTGTATAATAGGAATAAGAGAAAGCATATTATAAAGATGAAAGAAATAAAAGTGATATTATTATCGTTACAATTTTAATACCTGAAAGTAAAATATCAAAGAAGGAAATTTTATGTGCTATTACTTTCATCATTCAGAAAACTTAATTACATCTACATGTGCTATTATTATATATAATAATAAAGAATCTGACATTTTCTATAATGATAGTTCTATAATATCAAATTTAATTAGTCATCTTGCATGAATTCATTAGGTATATAAATTAAATGAGAAAAAAATAAATAATAAAAAATCTTAAAATCAAATTAGATATATGAAATGCAATTAAAAATCAATAATTAAAAAGAAGAAAAGTATGAAGTAGCTCATCTATTATTAGTAGAATTCATTTTGGATAATAATTAAGCAATTAATATATTAAATTATAAATGTTTTCATAATTTACTATATTCTTTTAATAAGAATTTTATGATAAGATAGTTAAAACTTTGATTAGTAAAGTTTATATATAGAGTTATATACAACTTAATGAATTATTAGAAAATAATTGTATTATTACTTTTATAATCACAGATAAAGTAAAATAAGAATATATTAGTATAATATATTCTTATATATCAATAGATTAGAAATTTAAGGAAGTACTTTTAGAATTGAAACAGGTTTTATATTCTCATATTGGAGAAATTATATCACAACTTTTAATAGAAACTCTTGAAAAATGAAATTTAACTAAAATAATAATTGCATTTATAACAGAAAATGGTCCAAATATTAAAAAAGCTACTTAAATAATAGAAAATATTGATCACTTACTATGTGTTGCTCATATATTATAATTGATAGTTAGTAAAGAATTAAATATTATTAGAGTACTCATTTTACTATTTAAGTAATTTATTATATTTTTATATATTACCTAAATATTTAGTGAAGCTGTGATCTGTAACTGCGCTAAAAATAAGTTATATAATCTAAATGATCGACATAGTTGACAAAGTTGAAAAAGTTGCTAAAGTTGTCAATATTGATCAAGTGGACAAATTAGATAAATGAATTATAGTTATTATATTTATTATATATATTTTATTTATTATATATATTATATTTATCATAATTGTATCATTTATTCTTTTTATTATATTTGATATAGTTGATTTTATATTATTTCATTTTATATAAATATCTTGTATTTTCTCTT